TAATTGATCAATTATCTGTTTGTTTTTTTAGCATCCCTTTTATGTTTAATATTTCTTTAATCATTTAAAACTCTGTCCTCATAAATCATTTTAAGACATTTTAATAGAACATATTCTGCAGTCGATCTTCCTCATAGTGGCCACAATTCCCTGCAAGATGTTTTTTATGTTAAAGGAAATAGGTGATTTATGTGCAATTATTATTCTTGTTATTCTTTCCACGTTTCTACTCTTTTTCCTTTCCTAAAAAGAAAAAAACAAACAAATAATTTTCTTTCTGCATCATATTTTTTCTGCTATTCTGGTTTATTTATATGGTACGGAAGAGGATTAGGGCCACTGGGAAAAAAAAAAAAGTTAACTGATTTTTTTAATTTTATTTCAGTATAGTATGGGAAAAAAGTCAGAATTCTGACTTTAATCTCAGGATTCTGACTTTTTTCTCAGAATTCTGACTTTTTTCTCAGAATTCTGACTTTTTTCTCAGAGTTCTGACAACAAAAAAGTCAGAATTCTGAGAAAAAAATTCAGAATTCTGAGATTTCCTACACTAAAAAAATGATAAGGTTGGAAGGAAATCTTAGGCAATAACTGCGCTTCACCTGCGGAACCTGTTATGGAATATTTCCTCACATCTTTGTAGATAATTGAGAATAGATGAAATAGATGTAGGAGAGAGGGGTTTAGCTCACTGTTTAACTATGATGCAGAGGAAATGAAGTTTGTTAGGTTCATAATCCTTCTCAATTTGAGCATACATTGCAAATCCACTAGGTGGCGCTGTTTGTTTTTGATTGGAATGAAATGGCTGTAGTGTATTCAGATAAAACGCATCTAAAAATAAAGTGAATATCTGGCTGCTGACACCTGTTCATGAGTGAACGCGTTGCTCTGAGAATCTGACAAATGTTTTTGTTTTTAAATGCTGTACAGTTTCTGCAGCATAATAACAATAAACCGTTTTTTTTATTATGGGTTTAATAAAACTAGATTAGTCAACAATAAAGGCTATTTTCTATAAATCTACTTGTGAATTTCAACAGAAGTGAACTTTTATATTTTTATCTTCTCTGAGGATGCACCACGTTCACAGAAACACGATCACCATGTTTACATTCGATCACTGCTGCACTTTAAGAAATGCAAATGTCTTGAGAGCTGCTCGAAACAAAATTTAGTTTTGCATGCACCCCCTGGATACAAAATGACCATAAAGTTTGTCTAAAAACACTTTTCAGATTTGTATTTCCTCAGTCATTTAAAACGAAGCCTTATCTTATCTGGGGGATAAAGCCGCTCCCTATCAAACACACCGAGGTGTGCACATGTCACCTTCTCTAGCTCAGCTGCCCCTGAAGCATGACTCAATCTTTAAACTGAACTTTGAACTGCATGCAGGTAATAAGTGCTTCAACGTGGAGCTTTTCTATCAGGGTTACGGCTCTCTGCCTTACAACATGTGCAAATACACAGTGTTTATAATGAGGTTGTGCCAAGTGTCTGCACAGACTAAATGTCCCTTTTGGTCCATATTTAGAGTGTAAAGTCTACAGTCGGCTAATTTTAGTTACAGAACCTTAAAAGAAAAATGGCTCAAGTTACATTTTAATCCATTTGAACTAGTGTATCATAAAAGGTGTATCATAGGGAAATGAAAATACTAAATGTGCAATAGATGATGATTAAACCAACATTTAGGATATTATTTGTATGTTTGTTTGTAATTGAATTGCAGAGTAAAAATGTTCTCCCAACAGAGATTAGATATGTTTTCTTTAGATTACTAACACTATGTTGTTTAACATGTATTATATGGGTAAAGGTTAGAGGGGAAACTTATGGAGCCCCTCTGATGACATGGTCAAAAACATTTTTTTAATTGTGGCCACGAAGTAGTATTTCGTGTGCATGAAATACTACTTAATAATATTAATATAATTCCTGGACAACTGGGTAAGCAAATCGAGCGCGCCTTAGACCTTAGAGAAGGCGCGCTCGATTTGATTACCCAGTTGTCCAGGAATGATATTAATATTATTAAGAAGTATTTCATGCGCACGTTAAACTTATTGCGTGGCCACGAAGTAGTATTTTGTGCTCACGAAATACTACTTCGTGGCCACAATTAAACATTTTTTTGACCACGTCATCAGAGGGGCTCCGTAGAAACTAGCTGTAGAGGCCA